ATCCTTTAACTATAACTGCTAAACATTCCAAATTCTTTTTCAATTTTGATTAGTGTAAATACATATTTTTAACAGCATGTGTCATTATGTTCTGGGTTGTTGGGTTTTTTTGCTTAATATGTATTGTTTTATACTCACTTTTCTGTGTGTGGATATAATCTCAATACTGGTCATTTTCATAGTTATATAGTGTTCCATCAGGATAGCATAATCTGTTTAGCCATTCATTTATCCCGATAACATTAAGTATCATTGAAAAAGAGACTTTTGACTTATTTTCCCTCTCCCCTCCCCCCACCACAGGACTGGTGGAATGTTGCACATACAGTAACAGTTCTATAAATAATTCATGACTGGCTATGCCTTTGGCCATATAAAGTTCAGTGATTGAGAATCCTAAAATGATTTGCTCTTCAACTTCTTCAATAAGTGTGAGTTCCATTCAGCTTGATTCTGGCGATAAGTTTTTTCCCACTGATCTCTCTCATCCTTGCCTACTCTTTACTTGCTGTAAACTTTGTCCTATACTCCAAATTTTAATACCATTTCCAATGACCAGGCCAATCTTCTAGTACCCACTTTCCCTTCCTTTCAAGATCCAGTTTCCTCCAAGGAAGTCACCCTAATTAAAGAGATGAAAATATCAAGTCTCAGATTATCCCTTTCAATTAAAGAAAAGATCATGGAAAGGCATTTTTCTCCTTGATCTTAGCTCATTAGAATAAATTGAGGAGATGAGATTTCAATAGCACCTTGTTGATCTTCTAACTTCTAATCTAGCGCTCTTGCACTCCACAGCTAAAGACACAGCCTGAATATCCTCCAGCAACATTACTTCTAATCACCATTTTAAAATAAAACATTTTGCCTCCTTTTTAAGAATTCATAGCATGATATTTCATTTTATTTTTAATTATATATCAATTTCACAAGGAAAGTTATTTTGTTTACTCTTGGAAGTTGTTTGAGAGACGACTCTTTCTAGCTTTTGCCAGAAACATAGACTCATATAACCTCTATTTCTGCCTTTATGATCTTCCTCAGTCATCTGACTGGAAATTCTAAAACCAAAGAATTTCCAGTGAGAATAAACCGTTACCCTCTCATCAACAATCGGAAAATTCCATAATTCTATAAACCTATAAGCCAAAGCCTCATGTAAAGCCTCATTAAGGCCTCATTCTCACTATATAGAATTGAATGGTTTAGTTTAAGTTAACCCAAAATGTATCTATAAGTACCCACTGTGCGCCAGCAGGCCTTCACATCCTGTTTACCACTAGGGACTACATTTTTCTAGCTGATTAAGATATTTTGGTAGCTCTGCAATTTTCCTTCGAACACCAGATGACTGAGAAGTTGCTTTGTTATGGTCATCCTCCAGGTGTACTGACTGCAAGATGACCCAGTTTGGGTTCAGAATTAAACACACCCTCTCACCAAACTGCTCACCCTATTCCTTTCCCCTCTGATATGGAGATCCAGGCTAGGAGAGCTGAATGCCAACAACTGATCAAATTTTCCTGCAGCAGCAAAAGTCAGAGAAAAGCAAAGGGGACAGTTTAATGTCTGCTCCCCCCCAAATAAAGTCCATGTAGACTCTGGGGACGTAATTTTTCAAGAAAAAAGAAATAGCTAAATGGAAGCCCTTGAGTGATCTCTTCTTGAGGGAGAGTTTTTCTCCCAACCATCCTATTAAAAATTAGTTGTAGCTACATGTGTCCTCTACTGGGCTTTTCTGCCATTAGCCTTTGTCAAGATATTAGCCAATTTCGTGCCATAAAGAATGACACTTTTAAGTAAACATATCTTTAATAGAGTAAACTTTCTAAATAGCCTTATCTATTTGGTCCTAAATTTACAGAATGTCAATGCTGAAGGACCTCATGTGTATTCTGTTAAGAAGATGACAAGCCTACACTTGGCCAATGAGCTATAGTCTTTAAAATTAGATGCTGTGGGGCCTGGCCCAATGGCATAATGGTTAAGTTCGTGGGCTCCACTTCGGCGGCCTGGGTTTTGTGGGTTCAGATCCCGGGTGCAGACCTACATGCTGCTCATCAAGATATGCTGTAGTGGCATCCCACATACAAAATAGAGCGAGATTGGCACAGGTTTTAGCTCAGGGCCAATCTTCCTCACACACACACACAAAATTAGATGCTGTGCATTTTAGTATGTTCTAATGCAACCAGCCTGAGATGCAATCAGAGAGCCATCTTTGCTGTCTCCTGAGCCAGTGTTGATAGTTGGGCTTGCCCAGTGTGAATGGGAATTACCTAGAAACAGAATCTGTGCTGTGGCTTCTGAAAATTTTATACTACTGGAAATCAGGAAGTTTCAATATGTGCCCAGATTAGATATTTTTAAAAGCAAACTTGAAACTTCTACCCCTTGGTCCTCGGTCTTGTACATAAGGGAGGCCCTTGGCATCAGTAGTTGTAGGGATCTTACTGAAAGGGATCCCTGTCTATAATGAACTGCACAGAAATCATTGTAACTGGCTTCACATCTGGCACTAAACAGTTATAAATGTTAATGAGTAAAAGGCACAATCATTCTTCATTTTTCAACTTGGGGGAAGGGAGCGAAGGGAGAAAAATAAAATTTATGCTTTCCATTGGTGATTCCAAGAAGAACAACTATGCAAGCTTGAATCCGGATCTCTTTAATTGGCAAAGGGCAAAGGACCTTACGGATCGCATGAAACAAAATCTTGTACTACAGATTTGCCAAAGCAGTTTTTAATGTTCTTCAAAAAATAAGGTCAACTCAAATAAGACTATCATAATGAGAGTGCGAATAACTCTATTTTCTACACAAAGTAATACTGTTAATGGAAGTTTAGGGGCTGGGAAGGGGTTATGATGAGAATGGCTAAATAGAAAGGAAGAGTGAAAACAACTGCTCAAAAGTACCCCCCTGTTCATGAGCTATGGGCAACTTAGGATGTCTTGTCTTCATCCCATGCTTGACTTTTGTTGCTGTATTTTAAAATAAAAAGCAAACACCACACACACAGACATGCACAAACCAACATCAACCTATTAGTCTTCCCTGCCTAATATTCCATATACACCATAAGAGAAGCAGGAAGGCATAAGCAAAAAGACCGACTGCATTCACACCATCTCCACTGCCCAGACCTGTAGGAAAGGTTTTTCTCCAATATTACAATTACAACTGTACTAGGAGGTAGCTGAGGGTAGACGGATGGAGGAGTGGAGACGGAAACCATGAAAACACATTGACTCCAAGGGGAATATGTTTTGGGGTAATGTTTCTTCAATAAAGCTCACTGAAGATATGACACAACTCAGCCACACTAAGAAGACAAAGCTAAGAACCCCTAGTAACCCACACACATCCTCACAGTTCATAAGTAAAGAACAAAGGGGCAAAGCCTTAAGAAGTTGATCTTTAAAGGGCATCTCTGTGTCAACAATAACTTCCTCTATGTATATACATTTTTTAACAGCCTGTCTCATAAATAATAAGCAAAAACAGAACCAAGACAGAATATATAGCAACTTATGTTCATTTTTTTACTTTGAATTAAGCTACCATAATACTGATGGCTTTTTAAATTCTCAATTCTTTTTTTTTTCTTTCAGACTCCACTACAGACATTATGACATAACCAAGTGAGGAAAATGGGATCTGGTCCAATGTAACATTTGCTGGCAAGTAATATCTCCAAGTATTTCATTTCAGCAATAATCAATCTGAACTAAGATTGAAAGTGAAAATGTGACTTCAGAAAGAAGGCAAGGAAAGGCAGCCAAGTAAAATATGCCAAGTTGGAGATATTATAGGTAAAATGTTACACACAAATATAGCTGAAAGAGTCATAATATACAAAAATTTTTTAAATACATACGAGTCTTTAAGTGGAGAAAAAGCCAATATATTGCCCTACCTTTACCATTCCAGAATCCTTTGGACTTCAGCAGTGTTGCTCTATTTTATAACCTGTGACTTACTTTTGCAAAAGACTTATTAATATACTATCAATCGAAGGACAATACTATTTTTTAGCTACTTCAATTAGCAAGTATTCTCGCCTCAGAAAACAAACATTAGCCAAACTCCAAGCTCCAGCCAGTGTTTACTGTTTTGAAAAACAGCCATGCACTTTATTGCCTGGGTTTTATACACAATGAGAAAGTAAAGAGCACACATTTAATTCTAGGAAATAACTGAATTAGAAGCCAGCAGAAATCCCCATCATAGTCTTTTGTTTCCATATAATAATCCATTCCTCAGTGTCTTACTGGAATGACTACAGACAGAAAATCAATTTTTAAAATCTCATGCATGGTTTATAATTATAGCTAGAATGTATAATCAAAACTGAAAGACATATATATCCAAGTGTTATTAAACAATGATTATGCTTTGATTGGGCTATCTACTAGCTACAACTAATCTCTCAGTACAATCATGGCTGCTTGCCAGACCACCATGTTCTAGGAATAGATATTTCTTCTCAAGAAATTTCTCTTCAGGCAATTAGTTAATATTTCTGAACTCAGAAGCTTTAAACTTCTGCCTGATAGGGATTCAGTACAAATGTGAAGATGTGAGGAATTAAAGCTCACTGATATTTGTCAAAAGCTTTCATCTAAACTGTAATGCTGCACACTCAATTAGGAGGCAAAAGATATATATTTTTAAAGATTCCTTGTCCTCTCACTTGTAAATGTTTTCTCCCAAGTGTATATTCACTAGCGAACGTAACCAACCCTAAGAAGGCCTTTAACATTTTACTGTCCACTGAGAGTATACTGTCAGTGAAGTTGAACAAAACTCCACTGGTTTCCCAACATTTTCTCAGTGGTAGGCTAAAATTCTATTTTTATTTTGGCTACGTTCCAACATAGCTGGAACACAAGCACTTCTGTTTAAATATATTCATAGTTAAAGGCACAGATGCTCTCTGGATATTCACAAAAATCACACATTTTTGACCAAATAGTGAGAAGTTGCCAGCAACTTACCAGAATTTCTCTTTGACACCATCTTCAAGTTTGTGCTGACTACAGAACAGACCACAAGGGCCAAAAGAAATGGTGGCTTCATCATTCACTTTCCTTGGCAGCTGAAAAGTCAAAAAAGGATATGAAGTTTGAATCACAAATCTTGGCCTCAACAAAGCAGCAGCTATCATTTCACACATCTTAAAGACATATTATAGAAACAATGACATTCTGGTAACTTCTGGCTTTGTTTTTATGCAAATGGAAGAAAACATGAAAGTTCACAATTGAATCATGTCAAAGTTCCCTACTTAAAACTTTTCAATGGCTTCCCGCTAGACTTAGAACAGAATCTGAACTCTTTCCTTTAGACCTTCAAAGACCTGCAGGTGGGACTCTGGCTGCCTCTTTGATCTTATTTCACAACACCTTCCTCTTTGTTAGCTATGCTCCAGCCACATTTTATTTGTCCCTGAAACGTGCCAAGGTCATTTCCTGCTCATGGCCTTTGATTTTGTCTTCCTCCTGGAATACTACTACTCCCCACTCTTCATGCAGTTAGTTCCTTAGCATCCTACAGTTCTCAGTCCCACAGGAAGGCCATCCCTGAATACTATCTTAAAGTCTCACGCTGTCATTCTCTAGCTCACCTCCTTGCTTGTTTTATTCATAAGACTGATCAGCACTTACAGTTATTTTGTTTCTTTATGTGACCTGAGGAGTTTTTATTCAACTTTGACACTGACGTATTAAAATCGATAGTACTAAATCTTAAACAATTGGAATGAAACTGTTCCAAAACCAAAATAAGTTTAAAAAAAAGCATCAAATTGGACTGAGATATTGTTGAGAAGCCCCCCCCCCGCCCCCCGCTCCATAACTAGGAAAGGGGTTGACTAAAGCACCATCAATAAGTATCTGGGGTGGGGGGGGGGATCCTATTTTTTAAGTACTTGTCCCCAATGAGTTGATTTTTCAGTAAATTGGTTACCTATATGAGGACTCATCTAGGATCCTTTAAGAATCAGAATATAAGCACCACAGAGGTACGCTGGGCTCATCATAAACCCAAGATATAAATACAGCAAAGGGGACCATGAGGGTGAAACCACAGCAATCCCTGAAATAATGGATGGAAGCAAACCTGAGTGGAAAGGCAAGAACAGCCTCTGGATAACACTTAAAGATCCAGAATTCACTATAAAGATTTTTTTGAATAACTGGTTCTTACCTAAAGATTCAGAACTTTATCCAGAATGTAAGAGTAACTGGATGATATCAAGTGTTGGCTGGGATCCTCTTTTCCCAGACTTTACCTCAAATTGACCTCAAATTGACCTGCTATCCTAAATTCAGAAAACTTCCAGAGTTTTGTGTCTGAGGCCATCAGCTCAGCTATCCGATGCAGCCAGTGACTTATCATCCCACCTCCACTCTGCCAATAAACAAAGAGGCCTGGGAATGAGGAGAAGGTCACCTTTCAATAATGAAGACAGGTTTTCCTTTCCCAGTTGACATGCTAGACTTCCCTTGTACCACTGGAACAGGGATAAAGAACCCTGGGAAGAGAGATGGTGTGTTGGAGATTTTCAGATGACAGGGGACCAGGACCAATCCCTACCCATCCCCAACACACACCAAATTTCTGTGTCCCAAGAAGCATGGAAGGCGAATTTGGCATATTACCAAAGATCCAACTTGGGACTGAGTAAACAGATGACCATTGCCAGAGACTTTGCAACATGCAGCAAGATGAGTATACCCAAGAGGAAAGTGGTATGATGCCACTTGCTGAGGTTCTGAGGAAAGATGTAATCAAATCTTGCAAGGAACTTCCAGTGCCCAGAGGAGATGCTGAAGGTAGCATCTCATCATCAGGCCCGTTATAACTGCTTGTTTATATGGTTCCCACAGACAGCTAGAAGAGCAATTATGATCAAGCAAGGAGAAGACACAGGCAGTCACAAGCATGTTTTTCCCTCTCCCTCTTCCTCAGCCACTCCTCTCCTGATGCAGCACCAAAAGAGAAAGCACAGGGGAAAGAGGAGGAAGAAGGGGAGATGTGCGAAAACCTACCATGCACCTTCCAAATTCCTAGCCACTAGAACCACATCTCATCTGTTCTAAATAAAAGGAAGAGACAATACTTGAATCAGATGGGAGCTTGGAGTAAGTAAAGACAAAGGCTTTAAAATCAGAATGAAACTCTGAAAACAGCTGAAGTTATAGAATCAGACTGAAATGTTCATCACTGTCCCTGTCTCCCAGTGGAAAAAGTAAGTACAGTAGAGCACAACAGGTAGCAATTATTGGGAAAAAATATCCATGTTTACACTTCAATGAGTTGAAACTCTTAAAGAATCAGTTACATTTATTAGCTTGGTTGTTTCGGCCCACTCCTCTTCAAGAGGGCACTTAGTCATTAACTGTTGTATCCTCAGTATCCAGCATAGAGCGTGACACATAATAGTTATCAATAAATATTTTAATGAATAAAAGAAGAATATCAATGTAGATAACGTCATATCAAAGGTTCACGTAATACAAATAAATGACAGCTTTCAGTGTTTTTTTTTCAAGTTACTCATTTGTTTGAAAGAGAATATCTCTTATCCAATATGTGATTATCAAAATCTGAGCTGTGCCCTATCTCCTGCTGCAGTGGACACTGTTAGTGCCTACCCATATCCTCTTGTCCCACTCCAAAAGTCACCTGCAGAAGTCTTCCTATGTTTCTCTGCCAGAGGGCTTCACTATCTGCAAAAGCAGCTTGAGCAGCGTAGGAAGCAGACTGCAAGTTCCAGGTTGTTAACGCCCGGAGAGTGACTCTCACAATGATGGGAGTTGGTGAATAAATACCCAGCTCCCTCAACCCTTGGTATGTGCCAGGAGAATTGAGTGGTAAACTGTTTATTAACAACACACTCTTTATTTGCTTTTCCTCCCTTCCAGTTTGACTTTGCCATTCCCTTGCAGTACTTGCTGGAAAAACCTCCCAAATAAACTACCTACATTCAAATCCCTGTTTTTGGATCTGCTTTTGGGAGAACTCAAATCAAGACTCTGATAAGACCATTATGAACTCTACAAAATTCTTTGTTTTACATAGACTCAATCTGTCATATTTCCAGGTCAGAAGATTATGTAGGCTCTGGACTTTCAAAGGAAGGCTTACTATTTTTTAAATTATTTTATTAAGGTCATATTGGCTTATAACATTGTGTAATTTCAAGTGTACATTATTATATATCAACATTATTATATATAAGTTTCTGTATAGACTGCCTTGTGTTCACCATAAATAGTCTAGTTTTTATCCATCACCATACCCTTTACTCCTTCCGCCATACCCCCAACCCCTTCCCTTCTGGTAACCACCAATCCATTCTCTGTATCTATGTGTTTGTTTGTTGGTGTCTTCTCTTTATGAGTGAGATTACATGGTATTTGACTTTTCCATCTGACTTATTTCACTTAGCATAATACCCTCAAGGTCCATCCATGTTGTTCAAATGGCACAGTTTTGTCTTTTTTATGGCTGAGTAGTATTCCATTGTTTATGTATACCACATCTTCTTTATCCATTCGTCCAATGATGGGTACTTGGGTTGCTTACACATCTTCGCTATTGTGAATAATGCTGCAAAAATAAGGCTTATTATTTAAAATTTTCCTGAACCATAGGCACACTCTAGCTCTCCTGTCATCTCCCTTTTTAGAACTTATATCTTATAATACCACTGACTTTGATAAGAACATTGGCTCATCGCTGCTTTAGCTCTTCCTGATGGATTCACTCAGTTACCTACTCAGCCCTGCTAGTTAGATATTAGGAGTCTGCCTTGTTCTCCTTACCCTCAACCATCCTATCCATAATCGTACCTTCACTATTTCTGTCTGAAAGCTGACAGTTTGTAAGGACTGTAATTTGCCAAGATAGAATATCATTTTAAGGATTCTAATATTTTATAAATAGTGACAAAGTTATTTGAGAAAGCCTTTTAAAGGCCCTGTTTTACCCAGTAGTTATTATGTTATAATTTTCACCCAAAACAAGAACTATATTTTATAACTGCTACTCGGAGATATTAAAGGTAGAAAATAACTGACCCCAAATTATTTCTACTTCCCTATGTGAGCCCTTCTTATTCTTTGTGAAGTGAAATACCTAATATTTGACTTTGACTAGTAAAATCCTTGGAATTGAATATGTTAACAACAGAATTATTTCATATACTCCCCTTTTTGTAAATTGAAATCAGTGGGGATTAAAAAAACTAAACATATCAGGGCCGGCCCCATGGCATAGTGGTTAAGTTCACGCACTCCACTTTGGAGGCCCAGGGTTCACAGGTTTGGATCCCAGGTGTAGATCTACACACCATTCATCAGGCCATGCTGTGGTGGTGTCCCACATACAAAATAGAGGAACGCTAGCACAGATGTTAGCTCAGTGACAATCTTCCTCAAGCAAAACAAGGAAGACTGGTGGCAGATGTTAGCTCAGGGCCAATATTCCTCACCAAAAAAATAAAAAAAGAAAGAACATATCAAGCTTTTAAATCTATATATTTGCCAATTGTTTCCACAGGAGAGTCCGTTAATTCAAGAAACTTTTAAAATAACTATTATATTTTATGATAATAATAATTTATTGAGTATTCTGTGTGTGCCAGACATTGTGCTAAACTGTTATATGGTGTTTTATCCTATTAATGACCTTATGAACTGTTATTATCCCCATTTTACTTTTTAGGAAACTGACACTTGTGACCTATCCGAGGTCACAATAGTAAACTAAGGAAAAAAATATTTGAATTTAGGTCTGTGTGACTACGAAGCCCAAGCTCTTAACCAACACTAAAATATTTTTGCCCTAGAAGTTAGATGCTATGGGAGGCATAAACCAAGTCAAAGATTTTAAAAGATCGCTCCTTGCCTTCAAGGAGCTATAACCTAAGTGTGGCGATGCACGCATTCTAGAGTGCTTAATCAAGTGCAAGACAGTGAAGAACAACCTGTATATGTTAATTGCTAAAGGAATATAGAGTAAGAAAAGAGTTTTTTAGCATGTTCAATAGGTGTTTCAGATTTCCCATTGAAAGGGAAAATCTGCCAAACT